CAATTAAAGGAAGGGGACTGGGTAAAGCTACCGGGCCATGATCAGGAAGTAGGCCAGGTACACATTACCAACCAAACAGAAGCCCTAATCGAAGTTTTCTCCGTTCAAAGGGATGGGGTACTACAAGGAGGCCGGCAACCTTTCATCTGGGAAGACTGCATGAGCCTATTTCGTATCAGAGCGCTAGATGATGGCAGATGCTGGAGAGCGTACCGACGAATGACCCCGATTGAGGACCTTTCCTTTGACCCTGAGGAGTGGCGTTGGTCCCAGGGAGATCGGGCTAGGCAAGGGGCAGCAAAACTTCTAATGCTACATAAATTGAAAACCAAATCAGTCTACCGAATGCTCCGTCCTAAGCGAAGACTGCGGGAACTAGTAGAGGACAGATGGTATCGGCATCTCAATGTGGACCGCAACCTGCTTAAACCCATCCGATGGTTCATGCATTACAGGGACAGACCCGCAAAGACTGCTGCCCTCCAGTGGCAAATAGCACATCGATGCCTGCCAACTAACGACTGGCTGATAGAGCATACCCGCTTGGAGCAGCAAGGTCGGGCAGTACCATGGTGCCATAGTTGCCTCCAGAACTACCCAAGGAAAAAACGTACAGAGACAATCGAACATATCTTCCTCCAATGCCCAGCATCGGTGTTATTATGGAGAAGTTGGGACAGGATCTGGCGTCACATTGTCCCCAATGCAGAATGGCCATGGGAATGGAGGGCCATATTACTAGGCCACTAGCCCCCGGTCCAAGGGACCACATTTGTAGAGAACATGTTTCAGTTGGGCAGGCGGAATGTTCTCTGGACTGTCTGGTGGAAGAGATGCATTTTGGATGTGAAAGGGGCACGGGTGGAGGAAGGAGAAGTCATGGAACAGTTACGTCTCCTCTTTCAACATGAACTTGCAGCCCAGTGGAAGACAGCCAAGGATAAGCTTGACCAACTGCACTCCTCGGGAGACATCGCTCGGACTATCTCCCGATTCGGTCAAGACTGGCTGGGAGGGGAGCGAGAAGGGTGGGTGGCTGAGATAAAATGGTMTGGGGATTGCCAGCAGGAAGGACCGCCACCGGAAGGACACCAGGCAGAGACTGCAAGAGACTATCARCTGATCTTCCACGATTGGACCAATATTGACCCGGGTGAGAGGCTACGCCCTGCCCAAGAGTTTGCAGACCCCTTCCCCCCTCACCCCTTGGCCCTGGAAGAAGTTTTTCCCCCTCCAGGAGGAGACACATAGAGTAGGGRGGGGSCGCTGGACCCAGGTTTCAGCGGATTTTGGATTGGATATAGATTAGCCATGGGACGCTGGACCCGGTTTCCAGCACTCTTGCATTGAACACATTGATCAGGTATGGGACGCTGGACCCGGCTTCCAGCATTACGCTGTTACCCTCACTAAGGACTGTGCGGCACAATTTTGTTTATTTTTGCATTGCCTGATTTCAGCTTAGCCCAGTCTGCTCGTTGTCTTTTCATCACACGCAGTAGGGCAAGATGTAACACATAATAGGCACCATAAGGACAGTAGGTGGATGAGAGAGGCTAGGGGTTGGAGGGAGATCCCACTGGTGCCCCCCGGTGGTCCCCCCCAACGCCAACCCCGCTGCAGGTTAGGAAGGGTTTGCCGGTTGAATAATGGGACGCTGGACCCGGTTTCCAGCACAGTGGTGTCACCTTTACAGATGTATTGCTCTGGAGAGAGATATTTAAAGGGACGCTGGACCCGGTTTCCAGCAGGTGCTGCTCCCCACCAATAGATGGAGCGGCCCGTCAGGCAAAGCCTCAATCCCGCTGGTTCTCTTACCACCACCAGGATAGAGGTTTTGTACAAGGGCCTAA